ACAATGGCTTAGGGCTGGTTGAGAAACAACACGATTTAAATCAGACTGGTGTACATGCTCTAATTTTATTTCCTCCTCACTTATCACTAAAAAGAAGCTGCACTGCACAAATCAGACTGGTAATTTGACATTGCCTGGTGTTTGAACAAGCTGGAGGCTGAGTTTAGTGTAAATAATGAAATATTCTACTTGACTGGGCTAAACTTGATTTGAAACATACAAATTTTTTACCATATAAATTGAGAGCTGGTGTTACATGATTTTTTTTACAAAGATATCTTGCGCTACTTCATTTAACCTTCCAGTTTTTTTTGACAAAAATGGATTAGTTTTACAGCTCAGAAATGACACAGTTACACCATGAATGTAGTATTGAATAGTAAATGGTATTCTTCTCCTGTATCTTATCAAAACAAATGCAATTAAATGAAAATTCATGGGTTAATCTGCAAAAATAAATGTAGCTTTCAAGAACCACACAGCACAGTTGAAAAGATAGGCCAGGGATTGCTGCAACAGATGGCACACTGGGAAAAGTACAATAAATGAAAAAGAAAGACACATTTTTTGTGTATGCCTTCAAAAACAAAACGATTTTGCAAGCTCAGATAGGTTTTCAATTTTTCTGAACATGCTCCACGATCTGGATAGATGTCGGCACTTTGATACAGTCATATTGCACAATTTTGCGGTCATAATGTGCTTTTGGAATTTATCTGATAAATGACAAGTTTGCATCTTGGAAGAACTGATGACCTCATGATACCTTTGATTATTCTGTATATATGCCATTTATTTGATCTATTCGGTTAGTGCATTTCAACATTTTTCCTTGATAATGTACCATAATCTTGAAAGAAATGTCAGAGAGAAGCAACAGGGCCATTAAAACATGCCTTGTTAGGATGCTATTCAGTTATGCATAAGACAAACAAAAACAAATAACAATTTCTACAACAATCATGAAATGACCCATATAAACAAGCATAACAAAATAAAGCCAAAAATTAAAATCACTTCTATTTGAGTATTTATAGGGATACTTTTTAAGTAAAAATGTATTCTTTTTTAAACTATTTTCAGAATACACTATGATTGTTATCATTTGTTATTCATTACTGAATTTTACAAAACTCAAAGCATAAAAGTCTTGAAAGCAGGTTTAACCTGAGGCTTTTGACTTTTATAATTCAATTCAACAAAGGGGAAATTGTCCAAGTTTCTGCTCCTTGGAGAGAAGTCATTGATTCAGGCATACACTGCATGTGATATCCCAGACATTCAAATGAATGGTCAGAAAATCACATGTAGCATGCACCTAAATGTCAAATATGTAGTTTTGGTGAATGAGGCTCCTGAGTGCAAAGACAGACATTTAATTTTAAAATACATAGAGATGCCCACTGTTTGAGTTTTATGTCAATCTTAGTGTCAAGTTAACGAGACCACTTTTAAAACTTTTTTTCTGCCAGTTTACATGGTTTATAGCAATAACATACATATATATTACCTTTGGCATAGTATAACATCCTATGGTGCTTCACAGGAATGTAATCAGACAAGGAATGTTTCAAAATGGAAGAGTTAGGTGGCAAGTTGAATATTGGAAGATAGAATTCCAGTCTTTAGGAAAATGTAAGGATAGAATTCCAATTTTTAGCGCTTTGGTGCCTAAAAGCTGACGGCAGGGCAAAAAGGCTGGAGAAAATGCAATATGTTAGAGTTGCAGAAATGTGGAGCTCTTGGAAGGTTGGAGGATTGAAGAGGGTTTTGGAGATAAAAATTGGGCAAGATCATACAGACGTTTGAACACAAGGATGAGAAACTATAATTTTGAACATCGGTGGATCGAGATCAAAGGTCATTGAGCACAGAGCTGTTGGTTGAGCAAGACTTGATACAGGTAGTGATACAGTAGCAAAGTTTTGGATCAGTTTGAATTCATGCAAGTTAGGAAATTGGCCATGCAGCATGGAAATAATCCCAAAAAAAAATCAGCCTGAGACAGAGGCTATGCAGTAGGACAGAACCAAAATGTTTCAGTAGAGTTGGGTGTTTTCTACATACACGTGGAAGCTGATGTATTCAGGTGGTATCAACAAGGGACTAGATGCAGATATGAATTGAAGGGACCAAGATTCAGGGTTGGTTCAAACTATTGCAGGAGAATCTCTGGCTACAATAGGATAGCTAAGGGAGACACATGTTAGAGCAGCCTATTCAACTGAAAATGAAAGAGATGGATTATGTCAAAGACAGGTCAAGGATGACAAGGACAAGGTTATGGTGGTGACAGTCACATTGAATGTCATTTGAGAACAGTTGTTTCATTGCTGCGACAGGACAGAATCTTGATTGAAGGGGTTCAAACACTGAGTTGTGAGAAGGAATCTAGGCATCAAATACACATTCAGCAACTTCAGAGAGGGAAGGGAAGTCAGAGCTTGGTGGGAGTGGAATTGTAGGGGGCTGAGAGATGGCAACAGCAAGATAATGCCTGATGGGTTGGAAAACATTTACATCATCAGTTAGCATGGGGGCCGGGAAGGGATATTGAATGGTCAGCAGTTTTGTGGGAACTGGGTTGCATGGACAAGATAAACTCAGAAGGGGATGAAGAAAGGTAATGGAGAACTAGGAGGAGATTCCTGAGAGTTGTTTAACTTGGAGGACAAGAGAAAGGAACTAATGAAAGGTCAAAAAAGTCTGGATGAGAGACGTGTTTATGGCTGACATGAAAATAGTTGGGACATCAGCAAAAAGGCAAAAACTTATCAGGTGGAATGTAGTGTGGGAAAATGTGAGGTTACGCACTTGGACAGTAACAATAGAGGAGCTGAATATTACTTAAATAGAGAAATATTGCAGTAAGCTTCAGCAGAGGGATTTGTGAACCTTTGTGCATAAATCATAAAAAGGTGGCATACAAATTCATCAGGTAATAGGGAAGATAAGTGGAGTGTTTTTATTTTTTATCCTTTATTACTAAAGGAATGGAGTATAAAAATAAGAAGGTCTTGCTAAAACTATACAAGGTACTTGACAGATCATGGCTGGAATACTGTAACAATTTTGGGCCGCTTATGTAAGGAAAGATTTACTGGTATTGGAGGAAGTCCAAAAAAGGTTCACTAGACTGATCCTGGGTATGGATGGATCATCTTATGAGAAAAGATTGGGCCTACGGCAAATGAAGTTTAGAAGAATGAGAGCCAACCATATTGAAACATACAAGATTCTCTGAGGACTTAACAAAGTAGATGCAGAAAGATTAGAATCCCTACAGTGTGGAAATAGGCCCTTCAGCCCAACAAGTCCACACCAAACCTCAGAGCATCCCACCCAGATCCATCCCCCCTGAACACTACGGGCAATTTAGCATGGCCAATCTGCCTATCTTTGGACTGTGGGAGGAAACCGGAGCAAACCCATGCAGACACGGGGAGAATGTGCAAACTCCACACAGACAGTCGCCTGAGGCTGGAATCGAACCCAGGTCCCTGGTGCTGTGAGGCAGCAGTGCTAACCACTGTGCCACCGTGTGAGACAATCTAGCACCAGAAGGCATAATTTCGAAACAAGGGGGCTATACATTTAAGACAGAGATGAAGTGGAATATCTTCTCTCAGAGGGTAGTAAAACTGCAGAAGGCTGCTAAGGCTGGTTAATTAAATATATTCAAGGCTGAGATACACAGATTTTTATTCAGTAAGGGAACCAAGGGTTATGGGGAAAAGCAGGAATGTAGGTTGAGAATTATCAGATCAGTAATGATCCGATGGGAATGTAGGAGCAGACATGGGCTCAATGTTCTGGTTCTGTTCCTACATGTTCTGGCCTTATGGTCTCCTTATACTTTTTGCCGGTGATGGGATGTGGAAAGAGGTTCAAGGTTCTTCCATTAGAATGTGTGCATTTGTTGCTCATTCCTAATTGTTCTGGAACTGAGTGATTTGCTAAGCCATTTCACAGAGCACTTGAGTGTCAACTATGTTGCTGTGTGCCTGGTGTCAAATGTAGGCCAGACCAGTCAAGGATGGTGGACATTTGTGGAGCACATAGGTTTCATTGACAATTAATGCTCATTATCATGGTTCGCATTCCTGAGACTAATGTCAATTCCAGATGTATTAATTGAATTTCAATTCCACTACCTGCTGGTGGGATTTTAAGCCACAGCCACAGAGCATTAGCCTGGGCTTCCGGATTTCCGCCCAGCAACTTTGCCACTACACAGCTCCTGCTTGCAGCAACCAACTAAAGACCACTAGCTTTGCTAGAGGAATGAATAGTTTTAGCAGAGGTGAGCAATGACTGAGAGTACTTGTAGATGAAGGGCAAAACCAGCCATGTACCAGGTTCGATTCAACGATTGCACACCCTTCTGTTAAAACCAGGAGAGTTGAGGGACTGTGCCAGGATGAAAAATTAGAGCGAGGGAAAGATTGGGTTTTACTGTAGATAAGGCCATGAAAAGTTGATCTGAAGGATATATTAAGGAAATTGACTCAGGAGAGGTTGGTGTGATAATTTTCAGCATTATGTTCAGCTGGGATGTGGTGCAGGCCATTGTATCCTAGGATCATCTCTGGTACCATTCCAGTTATTAATAATCATTGAGTCTGAGTATAAATAATTATTGGGTCTTAGCATCAGCCCAGTTATTAGTAACCATTACAGCCTGGTATAAATCCCTTTCATTGATAACCATTATGTCCTGAGATCATCCCTGTAATAAATATTCACTGCAAGTTTTGGGAGTAAAATTTAAGAGGATGCAAGTGACGATATTGGTGGGCACATGTTTAACTCATCCTCACCACATCCTTGTCTCTATTAAATTAACTGAATCGAAGCAGGTTAATGTCTCTGTTAAAATTCGCTGCCATGAACACATCTCTTATGTCCCGCTTGCATTGACAGCAGTGATTGGGATTGAGAATGCAGCCTGATTGCTGTGAGCTGGGACAGGTCTCCCCTCACCAGCACAGACCACCTACCTGCTGGGCAGTTGCATGCAGTCGGTGCTTCCCTTGCAATTCTGCGTTTCCCTGCGTCTTCGTAGGATCTCTACGGAGAGATAACACAAGTATCGACATGTCAGTAACAGAAAGCGGCACCATCGTACAGCATCTTCCTCGAGGTGGACGGGGAACGCTTGGGTTTTGAACGCAATCCTGGCAGAGGCTGACTTTACCCCTGCTGCAGCCAGACGGGGAGAAAGTGAAGGCAAACTGGCAGCCCCCGCTTCTCTCAGTTGACTGGCGGAACTTGCATTCACATGTTGCTGTTTCGAATCGAAATCGTTCCCAGTTTAAGAGGACGGGCACGGAGGGAGAGGGCCAAAAAAAGAACAACCACAGACGCACACATATATAACGGTGCGGACACTTTCTAGCCGCTACCTGGCTCAGAAGTTGCTCCACTCTGTCCTGGGTGAGCAGCCGCATCCGATCTGCCTCTGAGCTGGGGCTACGGTAAGGCAGAGTGTCTCCTTTGCCATTCTCCAGGTGCAGGATCCTCTCCTCCAGCTGGGATGTCTTCACACTGAGGCTGACACAAAACGCGAGCGAAGAGGCGGACAGCAGAAGCCAGAGCACGTTCGCCAGGCTCCAGCAGCAGCGGCCGGTCTGGCTCAGTCCTAAACCCTCAACCTGCTGCTTCAGCCCACTCCGCTTCGGATTGCGCTCCGCCGACATCTTCGGCATGTCCCACCGCAAAACAACAACAAAACAAACCCTCAGCAAGGCACAATCACTGTGAGAGGTATCCTCAGTGCCAGGGCAAGGCAATAATTCTTAAATCTTCACACACAGCCCTCCTTCTCTGGCTTAAGTGAGCAGAATGATCCTGGGGTCTCTGCTAAGCCCAGCCAGCTTCAATGAATGAAAAGGTTGCTCTGACCTGTTGCTGCTACCTGACACGCTGTGTGTGTGTGTGTGTGTGTGTGTGTGTGGGGAATGGGCTCAGCTCCTGTCCACTCTCTGTCTCTCTGTCCTTCTCTCTGTCTGCCTGCCGTTTCTGAGCGATCTGATACCCTGGTCTAGTTTGCCGCGTACCGACTGCAGGCGGTAAATACGCCTCCAGTCTCCAGTCCCAGACTGATTAGCATAACCCTTTCCAGATATGCAAACAACAACCCCCACCCCCCCTCCTCTCCCCCTCCCCCAGGCTCCCTATCCTAGGGAACAGCGCACTGTGTTCTCTGAGAACTGTCTACACTATCAGTCCCAGGATGAGACACACTCCAAGCAATGAGGCACACGGCACATTTAGTGGGACCGATTACACCGCAGTCAGTACACGTAGAGGCTCAGTTTGTCCCACATACACTGAAATGACTACAATGTGGTTGAAATGTAGAGTGATGCGGGCGCAGACAGGTAGCAGAGTCTCCATCCAAGAACTGTCCGTCGCACTGTAACCCCAAAGGGACATGTGCCTGGACAAACTCTGCAAGAGAGACTGCAGAGGCTGGGAAGCTAAAATACTGGAAACATTCTGCAGCATCAACCTGAAACACAAACTCCGTTTCTCAGATGCTGTTAGACCTTCTAAGCATTTCCAGAACTTTCTGAAGGGAGATTATTTTGCAACAATTTATGGGACTGTACAACGTCACTGACTTCCGGACAGTTCAGGATGTTTTCTCAGCTAAAAGTTGTGATTCTGGGGCGCAAGAGCCCAAATTTTCTGCCGGGCCAAATCGATAAAGGCCGTAAAAAGTTGTGTCCGTCTGCCCAGAATGTTTTGTCACTGTTAATGACCCGGGAAATAAAACTTCCTGAATCTTGTTACCGAAAAAGACCTGGTACTTTCTGTCTACCCTGCACACCTCTGTCGTAACTGCAGAGCTACCTTTCTGATGCAGCATTTCTGAAGAAGAGTCCAGACCCGAAATGTCAGCTTTCCTGCTCCTCTAATGCTACCTGGCCTTCTGTGTTCCTCCAGCTCCACACTGGGTTGTCTCCTTTTCTGATGCGGCGTGTTCCAAAGACACTTGTTGCAACAATAAACCTTTACCATCGTATCTTCCATCTTCTCTCCACTCAGTCCCAACAGTTATTTCGTGATAAGGCCCGTCTTCAAATGCAAGTGGGCCTTGTGATCTGTGGAATTATCCTTGCACTGAAATCCCACCCCGTTAAAAACAGTTGTCCTGAGCACAAACGAATATTGTTTAAAGTCAGACCTAGAATACGAATAATCAATAGTCAGGACGATTTTGCTCCCAATAAATAATTACGGAGGACGAGCAAGAAATTGCGAACAGAAGATATTGGGGACACTGCTAGTTATTTTAAATTATTGGTTAACATTTATTACTTCATTAATCTTCCCGTTAGCCCTGTCAGTATGAGCTGATCGCCGCAGTCACTGGCTCACTCTCTGTGCCTCGCATGTTTGTATACTTGCTGCCCACTTTTAGCACAGGAGTCCTACAAGAGGAACGTTAAGTTTGTCAGCCCTAGTCACGTCGGGGTTGAACCTCAACTGCAAACTGCAGCTCAGGTAGGGATGGCCTCACTGTCACCAGACTAAAGGCAGAACAATCAGACCGTGGGTTGACTCCTGGGTTCACTTGTCATTCAGTGACCCCTGCTGGACAGTGGATGTGCGTGTCCATCAGATGTGAATAAAATTGCAAGAGTCTCAAGCAGACAGTGATGTGGGGAGCAGGTGTATAAACGGGCTTGGTCGCCCACCATACATCACGTATTTGTGGAAAGGAATGGCCCATTATGAAACCACTTGTGGGACACCTTAACCAAGGTCAAATTTCCAGCTACCGCGGAGGCTAGCCGCATGTGATGAAGGTTTGATTGGGTGGGGTGTATCACAAATGTATGTATAATTGTTTAAAATGAGACTGGGATGGGGGTGGTGTAGCGATCGGAAAGAAAAGTAACAAAGGCAGCCTCATTGTACCCCAAACACTGTATTTTAAAGAATAAAGAGATCAGTTCATCCCAAACGTTGCTTCTCAATCTCTGCAGAATCAGAGACAGGTGGAAATATCTCACACAATTCTCAGCCTGTACATACGGAAATCGGCCAATCCATTCCGGGTGGTTGATAACAGTAATAGCGGATTTAGAAACAAAGTGATGCCAGATGCTTTATTCTGAGAGTTGCTGGTCAGGTTACTGACGGGGTAAATCCCTCTAACGTATCTGACACGCTTACGCTGTTGATTAGCCCAGAACTCATTCATTCTTTCAGATACATTGTACATGGAGACATACTACCCAGCTACAGTGATGTGAGCAGGCGGTTAATGCACATCTTCCCCCTCGCTTCCTTCATTGTTCCAATGCTGTCACTAGCAGGTACAGTGCACTCATTCTAACATCGCCTACGCTACGTGGAGGAGCTGAATTGTGTCACCTCACTTTCAGCTTCAGCAATGTGAATTACCACATAGCTTGATGATAAATGCAGCCCTTTTGCAGTAGCACTTAGGTACATTAACTCCAAGCTTGCTATTGTAACAGCATTTATGTACATTAACTACAAATCAACTTTCCATTTAAAGATGGAAAATATTTTAATTGCACTTTTAAATAAAATTAGATTCATAATTAGAAAAAAAAAGGCAAGGGTATGATTACATTGGCAATGAGAAAGAACTAGCTACAGTCTTAGATTGTCTTACGCTTCATTCAGATTCCTAACACCCGGTCAGATTTGTAGCATCTGAGCTTATCGAGCAACAAGTCAGTTTGAATTGTGATTAAATTAAAACTGAAACTGGAATTGTTTTGAAAAACATGTATATACTCACTTATTCTTAGGTTTATTTCTATTTGCATAGGAGGGTGCAGAGAAAACAAGGGCAATGCTTAGTAAGTGGTATTAAAGATAATGCAATCATAATACGTAAGTTAATATTACACAACATATGATTATTAGGTGACATTTTATCAAGGATGACATGTACAGTTAGAAAAAAAATTCGGATCCAACTGCCAAATGGATTTTGCCCATCAACATAAACAACATTCTGGTTTAGAGTAATTCATTCTAATACATTTTTTCCCTCAATGTTTATCACTAATCAATTCCGTATTATTTTATATCACAGTGAAATAACAGAAATTAATCCTCTTCAGGGTCGAGCTAGAGGAAATTATAACAACAAAATTATAACAACAATTAATTCAAAGTTTAAAGCACAGTTATTTTCACGTTTATGTGGATTTAATAACATTTATATGGTGGCTAAATTCTAAATTAAATAAACGCAAAAGGATAAAGTTTGACCGAGCTTATTCGAAGCATCATAATGACACCTAGTGGAACATATTATGACTGCACGTTATTGTTCAGGTTTATCTCTTTGGCGCTTTTTCTTGCTTTGCAATGAGGCCTCATTCATAGTCGTCAGACATGATGAAACAAAATAAAAATACAGACTATTGAAATAAGATTACATTCCTTCGAATTTCTAGAAAGGTGATTTGATCCAAGCTTCCAAGCTTTAAAGAGATAGAACATAGAATATAGAACAGTACAGGCCCTTTGGCCCACAATGTTGTGCCGAACTTTTACCCTAATCCTAAGGTCTATCTAACCTCCACCCCTACCTTATATGATCATCCATATGCCTATCTAATAGCTGCTTAAATGCCCCTAATGAGGCCGACTCCACTACCCTCTCCGGCAATGCATTCCACACCCCGACCACTCTCTGAGTAAAGAACCTACCTCTGACACCTCCCCTATATCTACCTTCACTCACTTTAAAACTATGCCCCCTTGTAATAGCTACCTCCACCCTAGGAAAAAGTCTCTGGCTGTCCACTCTATCTATACCTCTGATCATTTTGTACACCTCTATCAAGTCACCTCTCATCCTTCAACGTTCTAAAGAGAAAAGCCCTAGCTCTCTCAACCTTTTCTCGTAAGACCTTCCCTCCATTCCAAGCAACATCCTGGTAAATCTCCTCTGCACCTTTTCTAACGCTTTCACATCTTTCCTGTAATAAGGCGACCAGAACTGGACACAATACTCCAAATGTGGCCGAACCAGGGTTTTGTATAGCTGGAGCATAACTTCACGGCTCTTGAACACAATCACTTTATTAATGAAAGCTAACACACCATATGCCTTCTTATTCACCTTGGTGGCAGCTTTCAGGGAACTGTGAACATGAACCCCAAGATCCCTCTGCTCCTCCACACTTCCAAGATTATTTCCGTTAACCATGTATTCTGCTTTCAAGTTTGTCCTTCCAAAATGAATCACCTCACACTTTTCAGGGTTAAACTCCATCTGCCAATTCTCAGCCCAACTCTGCATCCTATCAATGTCCCTTTGTAACCAAGAACAGCCCTCCGCACTGTCCACAACTTGACCCACCTTCGTATCGTCCACGAACTTACTAATCCACCCTTCCACTCCTACATCCAAATCGTTTACAAAAATCATAAATAGAAGAGGACCCAGGACAGATCCTTGTGTTACACCACTCATAACTGAGCACCACATTGAACATTTTCCATCCACTACCACCCTTTGTCTTCTAAGCGTCAGCCAATTCTGAATCCAATCTGCCACATTTCCCCCTATCCCATGCCTCCTTACCTTCTGCATGAGCCTACCATGGGGAACCTTATCAAACGCCTTACTTAAATCCATCTATACACATCCACTGCTCTACCTTCATCCATGTGTTTGGTCACCTCTTCAAAGAATTCAATAAGGTTTGTGAGGCATGATCTTCCCCTCACAGATTCATGCTGACTATATATATGAGCCAATATATTTCCATTGGGCAGGGAGTCCAACATTGCAGGGTGTAATCTTAGAAATAGAGACAGATTTTTCAGTAGAGAAGTTAAACAAAAACTTTTACCCACAGGGGGTGGCAGAAATTTGGAGCTGATTAATGTAAGTGGTCATGGGATAGTAGAGTCATAGGACTGAAACTTATGAATGAAAAGCCACAGGGGCGGGAAGTGAGTGGTAAGCCTCCATTGGCTGGTGGTAACTGTGGAGATATATTCC